CAGTCAAGACGGTCAAGACATCCCAAGTGTCAGGTGGAACCAGCAGAAGGTTTGCCTTTAGAATGTCTTCTGGAAAAGCCAACGGCAAGTATTTTCATAGCTGTATTTTCCAACATGTTTGTGTTAAACAATGCTTTATGACAGTTCGTTCATTCACCCAGCATGTATACAAAACTTTTGTATGAAATCTATATAGCGATGATGGTACCAATATGAACGTTACTCACGGCTGATTTGCAGAATATGCACTGCACGCCTTGTGCTCGACAGAAAGTAAAGGCAATTTGCCTGAAAGAATTTCCATCCATTATTCAAACATTAGATTAAAAAAGGAAACAATGTCAATAATAGCCAACAAGAAACTGTTAAATACTTTCCGAAACATGCCATTAGCGAAGACAGTTTGATCTTTGTCTGAAGCAGCACATGAGAAAAAAGATTTGTTCAACTGACCTGTTTGACGCAGAACATACCATTGCACAGCTTGGGTGTTTTTGTGATCACATTACTAAGATACAAACTCTTCTTCTACAAGCTTATCTGGCACAGTGTAGGTCATTAAGAGTGGTAGCTAATGTTCTAGATTTTAGAATATCACAGGTCATCGATATTGTTCTTATTTGAGTAGTTCTATATTTCATCCAGTCAAGGCGGTCAAGACATCTCCAGTGACAGGTGGAAAAAGCAGGTTTGCCATTAGAATGTCTTCTGGAAAAACCAACGGCAAGTATTTTTATAGCAGTATTCTCAAAAATGTTTGTGGTAAAAAATGCTTATGGACACTCGTTCATTCATCCAACATGTACATAAAACATATGTAAGGAATCTATGAAGCGATGCAGGTGGCAATGTCAACGTCATTCACAGTTGGTTTGCAGAATGTGCACTGCACGCGTTGTACATGGCAGAAAGAATAGGACGTTTGCCTGAAATAACTTCCATCCATTATTCAAACATTTCATTAAAAAAGGAAACAATGTCAATAATAGGAAACAGGAAATTGTAACATAAATTCTTATACATGTCATTAGCGAAAACAGTTTTCATCTTTGACTGAAAGAGCACATGATATTGTTATAACTGACTTATTTGACGCAGGACATACCATTGCACAGCTTGGGTGTTTTTGTGATCACATTACTAAGATACAAACTCTTCTTCTACAAGCTTATCTGGCACAGTGTAGGTCATTAAGAGTGGTAGCTAATGTTCTAGATTTTAGAATATCACAGGTCATCGATATTGTTCTTATTTGAGTAGTTCTATATTTCATCCAGTCAAGGCGGTCAAGACATCTCCAGTGACAGGTGGAAAAAGCAGGTTTGCCATTAGAATGTCTTCTGAAAACCAACGGCAAGTATTTTTATAGCAGTATTCTCAAAAATGTTTGTGGTAAAAAATGCTTATGGACACTCGTTCATTCATCCAACATGTACATAAAACATATGTAAGGAATCTATGAAGCGATGCAGGTGGCAATGTCAACGTCATTCACAGTTGGTTTGCAGAATGTGCACTGCACGCGTTGTACATGGCAGAAAGAATAGGACGTTTGCCTGAAATAACTTCCATCCATTATTCAAACATTTCATTAAAAAAGGAAACAATGTCAATAATAGGAAACAGGAAATTGTAACATAAATTCTTATACATGTCATTAGCGAAAACAGTTTTCATCTTTGACTGAAAGAGCACATGATATTGTTATAACTGACTTATTTGACGCAGGACATACCATTGCACAGCTTGGGTGTTTTTGTGATCACATTACTAAGATACAAACTCTTCTTCTACAAGCTTATCTGGCACAGTGTAGGTCATTAAGAGTGGTAGCTAATGTTCTAGATTTTAGAATATCACAGGTCATCGATATTGTTCTTATTTGAGTAGTTCTATATTTCATCCAGTCAAGGCGGTCAAGACATCTCCAGTGACAGGTGGAAAAAGCAGGTTTGCCATTAGAATGTCTTCTGGAAAAACCAACGGCAAGTATTTTTATAGCAGTATTCTCAAAAATGTTTGTGGTAAAAAATGCTTATGGACACTCGTTCATTCATCCAACATGTACATAAAACATATGTAAGGAATCTATGAAGCGATGCAGGTGGCAATGTCAACGTCATTCACAGTTGGTTTGCAGAATGTGCACTGCACGCGTTGTACATGGCAGAAAGAATAGGACGTTTGCCTGAAATAACTTCCATCCATTATTCAAACATTTCATTAAAAAAGGAAACAATGTCAATAATAGGAAACAGGAAATTGTAACATAAATTCTTATACATGTCATTAGCGAAAACAGTTTTCATCTTTGACTGAAAGAGCACATGATATTGTTATAACTGACTTATTTGACGCAGGACATACCATTGCACAGCTTGGGTGTTTTTGTGATCACAATACTAAGATACAAACTCTTCTTCTACAAGCTGATGTGGCACATTGTAGGTCATTGACAATAGTAGCCAATGTTCTAGATTCAATAATATAACATGGGCAGGTCATCGATATTGTTCTTAGTTGAGTAGTTCCATATTTCATACAGTCAAGACCGTCAAGACGTCCCCAGGTTCAGATGGAAAGAACAGGTTTGCCAAAAGACTGTCATCTGGAAAAAACAACGGCAAGTATTTTCATAGCAGTATCCTCAAAATGTTTGTGGTAAGCAATGCTTTATGACAGTCGTTCATCCACCATGTATATAAAACATATGTAAGAAATCTTCATAGCGATGCAGGTGCCAGTTTCAATGTTATTCACAGTTGGTTTGCAGAATATGCGCGACACGCATTGTGCATGACAGAAAGAATAGGGCATTTGCCTGAAATAACTTCCATCCATTATTCAAACATTACATTAAAAAAGGAAACAATGTCAATAATAAGAAACAACAACTTGTAACATATAGTCTTATACATGCCATTAGCGAAGACAGTTTTTATCTTTGACTGAAGCAGCACATGATATTGTTATAACTGATTGACTTGACGCAGGACATACCATTGCACAGCTCGAGTGTTTTTGTAATTATAATGCTAAGATTTGAATTGTCTTTTACAAGCTTATCTTGCATATTGTAGATCATTAGTAGTTGTGGCTAATGTTCTAGATTCTCGAATATCACATGGGCAAGTCATCGATATTGTTCTTATTTGATTATTCAGTGTATTAATTTCATACAGTCAAGACGTTCAAGACAACCCCAGTGTCAGGTGGAACCAGCAGAAGGTTTGCCTTTAGAATGTCTTCTGGGAAAGCCAAAGGCAAGTATTTTCATAGCAGTATTCTCCAACATGTTTGTGATAAATAATGCTTTATGACAGTTCGTTCATTCATCAATCATGTATATGAAATACGTGTAACTTCCAACCATTATTCAAATATTAGATTAAAAAGGGAAACAATGTCAATAATACGAACAAAGAAATTGTGCAAACAATTCCGAAACATCCCATTAACGAAGACAGTTTTCATATTTGACAGAAGCAGCACACGGGATAGTTATTACTGATTGATTTGACGCAGGGTATACCACTGTACAGCTTAGTTGATCACAATACTAAGATACAAACTCGTCTTATACCTGGCATTAGTCATACTTCTGAGGTAAATATATAACGCCAAAGTCAAAGGGTGTCATCGATTATCTGACGAAGCATTACATGATGATAATTAGGATTTGGAGATTTTACGTGCGCTTAAAGAATGGATGTTTATAAGGCATATCAACAGATCCGTGAGTCATTATAGCTAAATATACTGTGAAAACTGTGTAAACGGATCCGTTACAGACATAAATGACACCAGGTTATGACAAAAAAAGATAATAAAAGACAGTGTCAACAGAAGATGAATGCGGACTTTTCATAGTTGTGTCTGTTCACGTAGTGTCTTTCTCGCAATGTGTGTTGCAAACCTAGGTTCAGGTTCACCAGCATTGAATGAATTAATGTTTAACTTTGCATCAGCATTATTCCATTATACGACGAGTAAACACTGTGAAAGGGGTTTTTTTAAGGACTGACCGAGTGAGCTTAATTTAACGCCACTATAAACGACCTGTCAGCTTAATGTGAGAGAAACATCGGAATAGGGTGAGGTGAGGTGAAATTGGGTTTTACGTCGTGCTTGACAATATTTCGCTCATATGACGACGTGCTTGCGTGTGTATGTGTATGTGCGGCTGCTTGTACTAGCCCAGACTGAAGCTGGTTTTATAGTGCTAGCCCACTGAGATACCATACCGCAGTGAAGCATGAATACCCCCCTCAGACACAGTATACAGACTCTGAGCCGACCAGTCCTTGTTGTACCAATTAGTGCCGAGCGCCAGGCAGGGACCAACAAGTACCATATTTTAACGTCTTTTAGTTTGACGCGATCGGGGATCAAACCCGCGACCTTCCGCTCTCCGGGCGGACGCTCTAACCACTACACCACGGAGGCGGTCTCGGAATAGGGGCAAATGTCACACTTTGGTGAGCATAGGTATGAAGCTTACAAACAATAGTCTGAAGGAAAGGTTCGTAACTACACAACGACATCTGGACTTCATTCAGAGTATGCACCTTAGGCAAAAATCATGACTTAATATAGAATGCGCTAAAATATCCCTTCTCAATCAGATTGATTGTTAAGGGATTGAAAATATTTTTTGGTTGGAATAAGATGTCATATTTGATATCTCTCTTGATTGTGAGTCATAATACAAGCAAAATACATTCGTATGCCTTCGGAATCATTGAAAATAATTTACGCAAATTAAGTTAAGATACCCTGGCGGGTGTGAACCTTCAAAAGTACATTGTTGAAAAGGAAACCTTCCTCGGGAGCGTCCTTGGAAAAGTTCCAAGTTGTTGATTGAGTCTAACCAGCACGGCAGTTTTAGGATTACCTGAACCTTCATTATTGCAATCTGTAAATACACTCATGGAACGAAGAACGGAACACATGGAAGTATAAAGAGTTCCTTTATTCTTTTCCAGGTTCTCACAAGGTTTGTATTTCAGTGTGGGTGAAAATCTGGAAACAACTAAAGGAACACTTGTACATGTGTTCCCTTGTTTGTTTCCATAGGTTACTAGTATATAATGATAATACATTTGGCTAATTTGCTGCTGACACTGTGGGTAATCAATTCAATTCTATTTGCTTATTCAACAAGTTTGGCTTTTGGCCATATGCAGATGATACAAGCAGCAGGTTGGCACTTGCAGTTTCATAAAAAATGAAATTCATCCGCAATCATATTTAACTTACACACTTGACACAGTCGCAGACTTCTTATTACATTATAATATCGCCCAAGTTCAGCTTGTAATCTGGCCATGCCAATACGCAGTTTCGTAATATCGCGAAGATATAAGGAGCAGTCACCATGCGTTAAATATGATTCCGGTTGTAAATTCAATTCAAATGAAGAATAAGAGTCATATATATGTTACTATATTGCAAGCTAGATTTCATTCCCGAGTTAAGATATCACTTACACGTTGCTATTTGCTTAAACTCTGACAAAAACACTTCAACACTGCAACACTTTAAAACACCCACACATAACCAAACCCGTAGCTAAATAAAATTTGTTTAACCGAAGAGGCCATGAATGGCGATCAACATTATCCAAGGAGTACAATATTTCATATGCTTTAGGTGGATACCTATAACTGGACATACGAGTAACTCTAAGCCAAACTTTAATACCCCTCAACAAGGAAGCTAAATAAACTGCGAATCTGCCATATTCGACCATAGCTAGCACATTCGGAGCCCTTTTACTAATGTTAAGAATCCGTTTACACGCTAAATGTTGTATTCTGGGTAATCAGAAGGCGGCAGTGCTGGGGAGTCTACACGTTCGCGGTGGGTTTGACTAGTCAGTGCTTCCCGGGAGAAGTCCAACTCGGTGCCTAGGCTGTGATTAAAAGGGGCAAGGGCCCTGGGATGATGTTGAGGCTAACCAGCCAGAGGCATCCAAACCCCCTTTGCTGCGTTCATTTATTTAACCTGTAAATAATGGCAATAAATAGGAAAATAAACCGCTCAAATCCGATGAAAAGCAATTGTACAGGCAAATGAATACAATAAATGTCACTGGTGAGAAACGACACACAATGGATTCAAAGGAGAGATCTTTCGAAGCAGTTGATGTCTATACTCGTAACCTCGAGGAAACATGAGTGAGTGAGTGAGTTTGGTTTTACTCCGTTTTTAGCAATATTCCAGCAATGTTACTGCGGGGGGACACCAGAAATGGGCTTCTCGAGGGACCATGGCAGAAGGAGTACAATAGTAATATTAATGCGAAAGTAAAGTTGTATTGATGTGTTTCACTGCACCTGACTACCTGAAAAGGTCGCTTAATAGTCCAAATTTAATACGACTCCAGAGCCTGCTGATATTATAAACTGGTATTGAAAACGGTTCTCTTGTGTCCAATCACAGTACAATGTACAGTGGGTGTGCCTGGTTGGTTCTGCAGAGGTCGAAGAAAGGTGATTTGACTGATCTGAAACACTTCTGGCCCGTTAAGTGTCTGAGTGCACACAATATTTACAAGTTGTCTTACAGATCCGGTGTCATCATACTGCATCGCCTAAAGCAAGATCAACAGTTGGTTCAAAAGATGGTCTTTGAAGAGGCATCATAACCTCAAACTGAGTTGGATACAGTCTATAAAAACGCTTATGGTCTTGTACCTCACGAATGGATTTTGAGGTTACTAAAATGGATTGACCTCTCTGACCGATTACTTCTTTTCTTCGAGCCTTGAATGTATTGTTGGTCAAATCAAGATGTATTTGCAATGGTATTTGCTGACCACAGAACCCTTTTCAATTGGGAAAAGGACTATTTCGGTGCGATTCATTTAGCCATTTACTTCTTTGTCTGTAATTCCTTTTAGCCTTTTGCTAACAAAGAGGACAGTTGTCATCGATGACCCCCTCTGTTCAGATTTCCCCAAACACTTTTTACCCTCAACATGGAGTCCACATTGGAAAAAAACAGATTCTCCTTGTCGATTCCTTGTCTAATGACATTGGCATGTCCTATTCCATGCTCTACCTCATGGAAGGTCCTGCCTATACGTAGGTTGGGGACACACTGGATGGTACCCATATTAATGACACACTTCGGGCAGAAGTCACATGTGTACTGGAAAACCTGGAGTTTTAGTTTAAAGCTCACAACAAATTCAAAGCCACGGGTAATTTTAATGTGTCTGTCCTTTCATATTCTTTGGTGTTGATTGGATGAAATAAAATACGCTTTCTACGTAACAAAGATTGACGTTGTAATCCTGGACCTCAGTGCAGATTCCTTACACCTCCCACCCTCCTCCTTTTCCATGGATGACCTTTTAAGTTCTTGCTAAGGGAGGATCCACACAGCAAAAAAACAGATTCTCCATGTGAAGTCCTTTTCCAGTGACACTGGTCTGTCCTTCAGACTCAATAAATGCGAAATTATTTATTCTTTATGTGGCAATGCAAAAGCGGCAGGGTCATTCAGTTATTATTTATTGTTATTATAGGATATTTATATTGAGCACATATCCACGCAACTAATGCAAGCTCAAAACGCTGGTATTTTTTCCCTCGATCATTGGATGTCAATCTCAACGGCACATCGTATTATCAATCTCAACTCCCTGGGGAGTATACAACTCTTGCTGTCACAAGGCGCACCGAGTTATTGCTGCTTTCTCATCCTAACGAGGTACCCATTCACAGCTGGGTGGACTGGGACACATAGTAACAGTACTTTGTTCAACTTCACTGTACGTTGCTGTACCCGCAACTAGGTGTTTGCATATATTCATGTGGCCACCATCTGGTCATATACCAACGGATTTGTGGGTTCTTGTAAGTACACCGGGTTATGTACTATACACTAGGGGTTGTGACAACACTGAAAGAGTCAGCTTACTTGAGGCAGAAGGTACCGAAGGTATCTATAAGGTCAGGCCTATATGTACTTAAGAATGCCGGTTAGACACAGACAAAGCTCCAAAGGAAAGAGAAACATCGAGCTGAATACAAACCCGGCCTTGAAAATCTATATTAAAGAGGTTAGCCCTTGCAATAACGCAAAAGCCAAACTAATCTGCAGTGTCCTCAGTCATTCGTTTGGTCTTGATGACTGAATGAAACTCTCCGCGAATAGCTGCAGCATCGCAGATGCGGCATTAAGCAATATTCACTAACCCACTCACCGAATGAAACAAGAAACGGCTGAAGGATGCTGAACATGACCTCAATTTTGTTTGGGAAGGGGAGCAAGCATTCAAAGGTTCTCACTTTGATGATGTTTGCTGACGTGAAAAGTGAAAACCAGTCTCTCAAAACCATCAATCAATTTTTGTTTAAAAATGTAAACATGAAAAAATGCAGTGAATTAATGAGACTGTTAGATACTTTGTCAGTGATGTCCAGTGTTCAAGTAGACAGTTTTCTGAGCAAAATAATGGCATGGCCTTATCGTTTCATAACTGCATTTGTCAAGTTTGTAGTTTGTACTCAGCTTACAGTCGCAATTAGATAGATTCAATAAGATAACACATATCATTATGTCTCTAGGCCATGATTGCATGTCAAGTATCAAGTCGTTCATGTCCCCGTTATTCTTGGGGCCTTAGATTTGGTACCTCCAAATACATTGACTGACACTGGGAGAGTAGCCGGGTTTGCTGCCAGTAACACTTCTGTTCTGACCCTCTACATAATTTAGAAGGCTGTATCAGTGGGAGTGGCTTTAGTAGCATTCGGCAGCACTTCCTCGGAGAAGAGTCATCCGCTGCCTGGGCCCGGTACAGAGGGCACAACAGATCTATGCTGATGATGAGCCCATCAAGTCTGACTTTATCAATGTCAACGGAACCTTTTTTTGTTGCACTGTCATCCTTAAGTATTTTACAATGTTGCAGTCAAGTATTATATAGCTATTTCAGGATGGTCTGTAAATAATTGACTCTGGATCAGGAAAAGCAAAATCTGACAGGCAGACAACAACAAGCAAGTTGGAGAATGGGAGGTTATCAGCAAGTGAGAGAGAAATACCGCGCGTTTCGCACGGAGTTTGTTTCACTGGCACATTGATGGTCATGAACAGTAACAGATGTCGTTTTAGATTCTAGAATATCATACTGGCAGGTCATCAATGTTTAATACAATATCTGGTTGTTATTTAGTGTATATACATGTTCCCTACAGACAACATCAAGTCTTTTCGAGTTTCAGGTGGAAAGAGCTCAATCGTGAGGCTCAGAGCGTCCTCCACAAAAAACAACGGCAAGTATTTTCCATAGTAGTATGATAACATGGGGGTACTTCGCACTTAATAACTGTCATTCATGGATCCAACACGTATATAAAACTGTAATAAAACTGTATAGTGATGATAATACCAATTCTAACGATATTTACTGTCGATATAAAAAGGGGCGTGTTTGATAGCAAGAACAAGACCTGAAATAACTTCATTCTTTCCATTCATTCTTTTAACGTTAGATTGAACCCAAATGTCAATAATATGAAACAAGAAATTGCACAATTCGTGAAGACAGTTCGATTGGTGGACTGAAGTAACACATGAGGTTGCTTTATTTGATAACCTTAATATTGACATGTTCTTGTTCACTTAGGTAAAGCAATAAGTGTTCTTCGTCGGACTCCTGCTAGGACACTGTTAAGAGATGGTATGATTGATACGAACCAAACTCAACAGTATACATGAAAATACCCGTGTGAACTGGCGTGTGAAATGAATTAATTTATCATCAAGTAACAACAATAAATTTGAAATCGATGCAATGTCATGCAGTGATTGAATTATTTCTCTGCTACATCTACTGTGCTTGAGGGAGCGATTGAGTATGGTTTCGCGTGACATCCCAGCAATATCTCGGCTGACGGATCCAGATATCTGCCTCACGCATTGTAACCAAGTGAGGAATTGAAACCGGGTCCTCACTGTGACAAGACAATGTTTTAAGCAATAGGCCACCCCTACGCCCATAATATATTCAAAAGACTCCCATGCGTGTTGCCTGAGTCTACTCACAGGATTGTGTGGTCAGCTGATTTGCTTGTAGAATTATGAATCAATTTCATATCCCGATTGTGGCGATCTGTGCTACCAATGTCAAGCACTGGGTTTGAAAGGTGGAAACTCGGTTATTAACAGGTCACTGAGAAAACATACACTTTTTCTGAAAAAAAAGAAAATTTGTCGCAACTCACTGTAAACATGTCTTTTGTAAGTATACGTGTGTCAGATGTATTTTATGGTGGGATATTTTCATGTGTTCTCCTTTCTTTGTTCACCTTGGGAAATCATCACTTCAGACAAGATATCATCGGTATTCAACATGTTGCCTAAATTTCACATTGGCTTATCTATGATGAGGCCAAGTTTTCCACACACAGTTGTCGGAGTTTAATGCCACCTGCCATTTGCTTTTAGTATTGGCCAAATGTCCCGAACATTTTTATCTAGAATTGCAACTTTATACGTTCATTATTTTTATTGATAACTTGCGAATGATCAAGTTTAGCCTCTGTCATGGTAGTGTACAAAGTGGTAAAATCAAATGTGTGGACAGTCTTGACTTAAGTTCTTTTCTAAAGTTGCTAACCGTTTCGCAAATGTGGGCATCCACATACTTTATACGAATAAGTTTAAGAAGATTGTTCCCCTTTATGATAATTAAGATTCCCGACCTTTAAGACAGCAGTGTAGACGTACACCATTCAAAACATTTCTCCTTATACGGATATTTTTTCGAGATATAATACAGAGTAAAGGTGAAATGGACCTCTGTTCCATGTTTGGAGTCAGGCCAATATGTGTTGGTTTCGATAGTTTCTTCCTGCAGTTTACGAACATTATTCCTGCTTGGAAATACTATATTGCATGGTTTTGAAACAAAGGGTCTTCGAATGTAAATCAGTTTTATTTATGTGTGTAAGTTTTGGAAATATTGGAGAGGGGTTAATGTTCAGTAATAGTGATTAAGAGAGAATATTAGAGGTGGTGTGGACTCAATGGCATCAGTGCAGTGTTTATAGTGTTTAATGGTTTATCTCATTATTCATTAATCAGTGTATATTATACAGGCAACATCTTCAGGTCACAGACATCTAGAAGAGGGGTTTCCGTCGTCAGGAAGTCTGTAATAACAAACGGCAAGTATTTTAATTTTAGTGTCTTACAAAATATATGTTGATTCTCGCTTGATACCTGCCATTCATCCATCCAAAATTTATGTAATGCATAAGTGTAACAAAACCTATTTAATGATGCAGGGGCCAACTACGAAGATGTTCATTGTCTATGATCACAACATGGACCATATGTGTTCATAACAGAAGGGATTGGAAACGTTAGCCAGAAATAACTGTTATGTATCCTTTAAGAATGAGCAAAGATGCTAAAACATGATGCAAAACAATTGCACAAAAATGTCTAGAAAATGATTTTTATATTTGATTGGTCTTACTCAGCATGTACTACAGCTTGAGCATCCCGTAATACAAATGCTAGGATACAAACTCGTCTCGAATCAATTGAAGATATACTTTAGTTAAAAATATTATAAGTCCAAATCAGAAAATATCGTATCTGACGTGACAAAGTAACAGTGACAATTATATGACCAAATATTGAAAATAAGTGATGACCAGGTGTTGACAAGTCGGCAGCAACCAAGACGGTTGCAAAAGTATCCCAGTTACATCACGATGTGTCATGTTAGTTGGGGAGGCAAGACCGAAGTGATGCTGGTCTCAGATTAAACCACGACCATATGAATGGTGCTGACACGGTATTATCACGGCAAATTAGGAATCGGATTCTTAAGCAATATTTTGTTAACATATAACAGTTTGCCACATTCTTCTATGTTGACTCTGATGAAATATTTACTCAGGATGTGTTTTTGAAATATGAACAATTAAGGAATATTTATGTTTGTCTCGGTAATACTGTGCAAACGAGAACATCAATGGAAATAACAAGAGACCACAACAGAACATTCAAGGAATGGTATGGTGTGATGCATTCCCATCAAATCAAATTGTTTGAAAAGGAAATACTGTCAAAATAAATAACCCAATTGGAGTTAGACTCATGAGAGGTTCTGGGGAGACGTCCAAATGTTGTCTGTGCTGTATGTAAATGGCCAAGAACCCTGAGACGATAATGCATCAAAGTAGTCTTACGGAACCATGATACTCTTTTCCGCAATTATTTGCTTTAATCAGTAAATGGTAACAATTGATAGGTAAAATCGATGTTGTATGGGATTTAGAGGTGTTATTACCTCGCCCAATTAGAGTTACCCCTCGCCCCACCTCCCATCCCACAAACTGCTATACAGTTAGGTTACAGGATGCTGCCATGAACAAAATTATCTTCAATCTCTGCAAGGCACTCTTCTTTTGGCATACAAACTAACCAAACGGCGAAGGGAATTTTTTCCCGGGAAGGCACAGCACCTATCTTGGCGCACCAGCTGAAAAACAAAGTTCTTGAGTTTGCAAAAGCAAGTGAAAGGCCAGAAAATTCAAGTAAAAAAGGCACATTATTCCAGAAACTTTTGGACAACGTCATGGCAATATTTGCTCAACTGAAAGGGCGCAATATTGGAGACCAGCTCGGGGACTAAACTTGTATATATACGCGTGAACCTCGTGACTTATCTGACAGCCCATGCAGGAAGCCTCAGTTTAAATGCATAGCAAAGCTAGCAACTGTGCCTGAGCATCAGTTAATTGGTAATAGCAGCTGCAGCTAATACGTTCTCACTATACGTTCACATAGTGGAAGGTGCCATATCTAACTGAGTGCACGGGTATTGGTCTCAGCAACCAGTGCAAAGGAGGACCGGAGTATACATACTCACCATCAGTTTAAATATTGTTATGAGAAGAATATTGATGTTTTAGTGCGCAAAGAACTTGTTGGATAAAACAATTGATCAGTTTCAAACTTATTTAGTACAGCCAAATCAAGATTGATGTCGGCTTGAATAGATCGCCATGGGAGGCATTCGGTAATAACAGTTCTCTATCCACTTTATTATTTTATGCTCCTTTATTATGACGTATAAAACATAGCAATAGATTCGAAGTCACAAAAGCGTGGTATCGTTCGAATGTCGTGGACTCTCTTCATGTCAAAATTATTGTATTGAGATATTTGCATACGTTTATTCGTCCTGTGAAGTAGGTCAAGGCTCAAGATGAAACGCAGGTATTTGATAGTTTTCTTAAATGTGATAATATTGCTGGACATTATATCAATGTCAATCCGGATTTCAGAGCTTTATAAGAACAAAAACGTTTTAATGAGATCGGATAGTTACCATATGTGAAGATGTTGGTATATACGCGTCGTAACATCACAATCATACTTTAACTGCTTCTTTTAATATGATATGGATGGGAATTTTTACGAGGATTCTTTTAACCTGTGTCTTTATGAAATCTAGGTAAAGCAATATCTGGACTCCCATCGCATCCAGATACTGATTCCGTTCTCCGTCAGGCTATGGCTCAGGCTCAGGCTCAGGCTCAGGCTCAGGCTCAGGCTCAGACTAGAACTGTGCCAAGGAAAGGTATGACTGATCCGATGAAACCTCAATAGCGTGCATAGTAATGCCTTGTGAACCAGTGTATCGATATGGTTGTATTTGGAGTAGTAGTATCGAGTGAATGAGTGAGTTTGGGACACTATAAATGGCCTTTACACATTGTACCAGTGTAGAGAATTAAACCCAGGCCTTTGGCGTGACGAGTTAATGCTTTATCCACTAGGCTACCAAAACGCCCAAGAAGAAGTAGTAATAGTTGTGGTAAATGAAACCGGGGCGGCGGGGTGGCCATTCGCTCGTCACGCCGAAGGCCCGGGTTCGATTCCCCACATGGGTACAATGTGTGAAGCCCATTTCCGTTGTCCCCCGCCGTGATATTGCTGGAATAGTGCTAAAAGCGGAGTAAAATAATATTCCCTCACTCACTCAAGATGAAACCAAGAAATTCCATAGTTTTCATGAATGTGATAAGGGTGTTTGACATAATATAAATATCAATCTAGATTTCAGAGCTTTATAAGGGCGAAAACGTTTCCTGTACTCATTTGATCCACTTGTGGCAAAGAATGGTGTAATTTTGAATAGACTTTAATGATTTGTTATCACGATATGACACATCAAGGCCAGTGCATAACTCCATCAGCTATCCACCGAAATGCATACGGTACATGCATATGTTGTGTTTAAATATGGTTTGAGTGATGTTTAGAATTTTTATGGGATTGTCAGTATAAGCTCATTCCTTAATTTGATTCATAACATGACAATGCAATGTAAAATACAGACTTGTTTGGTACAAGACGACCAGATCAGTGTTCCTCAAAGTAGTTCATCGCTAAGGACACGTACAAGTAGTTCAAACATTTATGATTCATCGGTTAAAAAAACCTGTAGAGACGTTAGTACATCCACGTCGTAACATCACAATCATACTTTAACTATTTTTTTATATGATATGTTTGGGAATGTTTTACGAAGACTCTTTCAATGTGTTTCTTTGTGAATCTAGGTAAAACGATGTCCGGAATCTCATCACAGCCCGGTGCTGATTCCGTTGTCAGTCAGGCTATGGCTACAGCTATGTCTCAGGCTATGTCTCATGCTATGGCTCAGGCTCAGGCTCGAACTGTGTCAAGGAAAGGTATGGCTGATTCGATCAAACCCCAATAGCATGCAAAGTAATGCTGTCTGAACTGGTGTAACGACATGATTGTAATATATAGTAGTAACAGTGAGCGAGTTTGGTTGTACACGGCTTTTAAAAATATACCAGCAATATCACAACGGGAACACTATATATGGGCTTTATACATTGTGCCATGTGGGGAATCGAACCAGGCCTTTGGCGAGACAAACTTGAGCTTTAACTACTAGGCTACCCCAACGCCCTAGAAGTAATAGTAGTAGTAGTAGTAGTCGTAGTCGTAGTCGTAGTAGTAGCAGTAGAAGTAGTAGTCGTAGTCGTAGTCGTAGTCGGAGAAGGAGTAGGAGTAGGAGTAGGAGTAGTAGTAGTCGTAGTAGTAGCAGTAGTAGTCGTAGTCGTAGTCGTAGTAGTAGTAGTATGAGAGGAGTAGGAGTAGTAGTCGTAGTCGTAGTCGTAGTCGAAGTAGGAGTAGGAGTAGAAGTAGTAGTAGTAGTAGTAGTAGAAGGCACGTTGGTGATTTGGTATTACAATATAACACATCTTGGCCGGTGCATAACTCCATCTTTTACCCATCGAAACCCATATTGTGCATGCATTTATCATGTTTTAAAATGATTTGAGTGATGTTTAAAATGGGATTTTCAATAAAAGCACATTCCTGAATTTGATTCATAAAATGACAATGCAATGTAAAATACAGACTTGTTTGGTACGAGACGACCAGATCAGTGCTCCTCCAAGTAATTCATCGCTAAGGGCACGTCCAGCTAGTTCACAAATGAATGATCACCAGTTAAAAATCTGTGAAGATGTTGGTGTATACCCGTCGTAACATCACAATCATACTTTAACTGTTTCTTTTAATATGATATGGATGGGAATTTTACGAGGACTCTTTTAACCTGTGTCTTTATGAATCTAGGTAAAGCAATATCTGGACTCCCATCGCATCCAGATACTGATTCCGTTCTCCGTCAGGCTATGGCTCAGGCTCAGGCTCAGGCTCAGGCTCGAACTGTCTCAAGGAAAGGTATGACTGATCCGATGAAACCTCAATAGCGTGCATAGTAATGCCTTGTGAACTAGTGTATCGATATGGTTGTATTATACAGTAGTTGTAGTGTAGTGAATGAGTGAGTTTGGTCTTGCGCCGCTTTTAACAATATTCCAGAACTATCATGGTTGGGACACTATAAATGGCCTTTACACATTGTATCAGTGTAGAGAATTAAACCCAGGCCTTTGGCATGACGAGCTAATGCTTTATCCACTAGGCTACCCAAACGCCCAAGTAGAAGTAGCAATAGTAGTGGTAAATGGAATTGGGGCCGTGGGCTGGCGTAGTGGTTAAGAGACGTTAGTACATCCACGTCGTAACATCACAATCATAATTTAACTATTTTTTTATATGATATGTTTGGGAATGTTTTACGAGGACTCTTTTAACGTGTGTCTTTGTGAATCTAGGTAAAACGATGTCTGGAATCTCATCACAACCCGATGCTGATTCCGTTGTCAGTCAGGCTATGGCTACGGCTATGTCTCAGGCTATGTCTCATGCTATGGCTCAGGCTCAGGCTCGAACTGTGTCAAGGAAAGGTATGGCTTATTCGATCAAACCCCAATAGCATGCATAGTAATGCTGTCTGAACTGGTGTAACGACATGATTGTATTATACAGTAGTAATAGTGAGCGAGTTTGGTTGTACACGGCTTTTAAAAATATACCAGCAATATCACAACGGGAACACCATATATGGGCTTTATACATTGTGCCATGTGGGGAATCGAACCAGGCCTTTGGCGAGACAAACTTAACTTAAGCTTTAACTACTAGGCAACCCCACGCCCAAATAGTAATAGTAGTAGTAGTAGTCTTAGTCTTAGTCTTAGTCTCAGTCGTAGTCGTCGTACCAGTAGCAGTAGTAGTCGTAGTAGTAGGAGTAGGAGTAGTAGTCGTAGCAGTAGTCGTAGTCGTAGTCGTAGTAGGAGTAGTCGTAGGAGTAGTAGTCGTAGTAGTCGTAGGAGTATGAGTAGTCGTAGTCGTAGTCGTAGTCGTAGTCGTAGTCGTAGTCGTAGTAGTCGTAGTCGTAGTTGTAGTAGGGGGAAGAGTAGGAGTAGTAGTAGTCGTAGTCGTAGTCGTAGTAGTAGTCGTAGTCGTAGTTGTAGTAGTAGGAGTAGGAGTAGGAGTAGGAGTAGGAGTAGTAGTAGTAGTAGTAGGAGTAGTAGGAGTTTTAGTAGTAGTAGTAGTAGTCGTAGTAGGAATAGTCGTAGGAGTAGGAGTAGTAGTCGTAGAGGAAGTAGTAGTAGTAGTAGTAGTAGTAGTAGTAGTAGTAGTAGTAGGAGTTTTAGTAGTAGTAGTTGGGAGTCGAAGTAGTCGTAGTAGGAGTAGGAGTAGGAGTAGGAGTAGGAGTAGGAGTACAATTTGAAAGCGATACATTTGTATTTTGCAATGAGTGCAGTTATTTTTAAGCTATTTTCTACATGTAATGAAAGATGACACTCTAGTGAAGATCCAGATCTCAGCAGCCCATATGTTTTTTGCATCTGGCAAATAACAAAATCCTGTAATCAGGCTCACTGACTTGGTGGATGCAGATTGTATTTTAAAACTACAAACAATCTTTGAGAAATGATGACTTGACATCCGATAACATCCTATTTCTGCTTTGTGTGGTAACTAGATGTGTGTCAGTGGATTATGCTCAAGGTTGTTTTTATCAAGTTTTGATAACGTTCCACAGATATGCAACAATGTTTTTCTATCCCCATCCACTCAAGTATTTTATACTCCGGATCCCTTATTAGGACGTATGAAAGACAACCACAAAACTTTGGCATCGTTTGAATGACGTGGACTCTTCATGACAACGTTGTATTGTGATATTTGCATACATTTATTCATCCTGAAAAGCAGGCCCAGACTCAAGAGGAAACAAAAATATTCCAAAGTTTTCTTTAATTTGTTAAGGGTGTTGGACATAATATCAATGTTAATCTGGATTTCAGAGCTCTATAAGGGCAGAAACGTTTTAATGATATCGGATAGTTAACATATTGCATATTTGACTTGATTTTATCATAACTGTCTTCAGATTTCAATGCAACTCTACTTTACGGTATTTCTAACTATATAACGAAATTGCAAAGTCGTAAGGATGGATTTGCTCTTGCATATTCTTTTGATGTGAATGGACAGGAGGGATGACAAGCCATTTCAGTTCCTACATCCATTTGTTCCACTTGTGCCAAAGAATGGGGTAATTTGGAATAGACGTTAGTGATTTGATATTACAATATAACACATCTTGGCCGGTGCATAACTCCATCTTTTACCCATCGAAACCCATATTGTGCATGCATGTATCATGTTTTAAAATGATTTGAGTGATGTTTAAAATGGGATTTTCAATATAAGCACATTCCTGAATTTGATTCACAAACGGATAATGCAATGTAAAATACAGACTTGTTTGGTACGAGACGACCAGGTCAGTGCTCCTCCAAGTAATTCATCGCTATGGGCACGTCCAGCTAGTTCACAAATGAATGATCACCAGTTAAAAATCTGTGAAGATGTTGGTATATACCCGTCGTAACATCACAATCATACTTTAACTGTTTCTTTTAATATGATATGGATGGGAATTTTTACGAGGACTCTTTTAACCTGTGTCTTTATGAATCTAGGTAAAGCAATATCTGGACTCCCATCGCATCCAGATACTGATTCCGTTCTCCGTCAGGCTATGGCTCAGGCTCAGACTGGAACTGTGCCAAGGAAAGGTATGACTGATCCGATCAAGAGCGTGCATAGTAGTGCCTTGTGAGTGAGTGAGTGAGTGAGTATGGTTTTACGCTGCTTTTAGCAATATTCCAGCAATACCACGGCGGGGAACACCACAAATGGGCTTCACACAATGCACCCATGTGGGGAATCGAACCCGGGTCTTCAGCGTGTCGAGCGTACGCTTAACCATTAGGCTACCCCACCGCCCCTAATGCCTTGTGAACTAGTGTATCGATATGGTTGTATTACACAGTAGTAGTAGTTAGTGAATGAGTGAGTTTGGTTTTGCGCCGCTTTTAACAATATTCCAGAACTATCACGGTTGGGACACTATAAATGGCCTCTACCCATTGTACCCATGTAGGGAATTAAACCAAGGCCTTTGGCGTGACGAGCTAATGCTTTATCCACTAGGCTACCAAAACGCCCAAGTAGACGTAGTAATAGTAGTGGTAAATGAAACCGGGGCGGTGGGGTGGCCTAGTGGTTTAAGCATTCGCTCGTCACGCCGAAGGCCCGGGTTCGATTCCCCACATGGGTACAATGTGTGAAGCCCATTTCCGGTGTCCCCCGCCGTGATATTGCTGGAATAGTGCTAAAAGCGGAGTAAAACAATATTCACTCACTCACTCAAGATGAAACCAAGATATTCCATAGTTTTCATGAATGTGATAAGGGTGTTGGACATAATATAAATATCAATCTAGATTTCAGAGCTTTATAAGGGCGAAAACGTTTCCTGTACTCATTTGATCCACTTGTGGCAAAGAATGGGGTCATTTGGAATAGACGATGATTTGTTATTGTAATATCACACGTCAAGCCCGGTGCATAACTCCACCTGTTATCCACCGAAACTCATATGGTACATGTATGTATCGTTTGTAAATATGTTTATAATTTTGATTGCATTTTCAAAACGAACACATTCCTGAATTTGATTTCAGAAATGCCAATGCAATGTAAAATGAGAACGTGTTTGGTACGAGACGACCAGATCAGTGCTCCTCAATGTAATTCATCGCTATGGGCACGCCCAACTAGTGCAAAAGTTAATGATGCATCGGTTAAAAAAACTGTTCAGATGCTGGTATTTTAAGGTTTTTAAGGGGAGTCGTTCACCGTGTGTCTTTGTGAACCTAGGTAAAGTGATGACTGGAATCACATCGCATCCAGATGCTGATTCCGTTCTCCGTCAGGCTATGGCTATGTCTATGTCTCAGGCTATGGCTCAGGCTCAGGCTCAGGCTCGAACTGTGTCAAGGAAAGGTATGGTATTTGATCAAACCCCAATAGCATGCATAGTAATGCCGTGTGAACTGCCGTGTTTTGACACGATCGTCTTATCCAGTTGTAGCAGTGAGTGAATGAGTGAGTTTAGTTAAAGACACTTTTAACAATATTCAAGCAATATCATGACGGGGTACGCCATAAATGGGCTTCATACAATGTACCCATGTAGGGAATGAAACCCAGGCCTTTGGCGTGACGAGCTACGGCTTTATCCACTGGGCTACTCCAACGCCCAAGTAGAAGTAGTAATAGCAGTGGTACAGTTTGAAAGCGATACATTTGTGTCATGCAATGAGAACAATTATTGTTTACGATATCTCTACATGTGATGAAAGATGACGAACTAGAGAGGATCCAGATGTGGTCTCAGCAGCCCATATTTTTTTGCATCTGGCAATTAACGAAATCGTGTGATCTGGCATGCTGACTGAGTGGGAGCAGATTGTGTCCTCAAACCAATCTATGAGAAACGATCATCGTACTTCCAGTAACATCCTATTTCTGTGATAACTAGATGTGTGTCAGTGGAAAGTTCTCAAGGTTTCTCTTGGTTCCCGAAGGTAACCATGGAGTGTCAGTAGGTTCTCTGGCGACGGATCCTGTTTCTTCCCCTTAAGGTACGACGTGACATGAGTAAATGCGTGTCTGTTCTTAAAGGCGTGTCTGTTCCTAAATGCGTGTCTGTTCTTAAAGGCGGGTCTGTTCCTAAAGGCGTGTCTGTTCTTAAAGGCGTGTCTGTTCCTAAATGCATGTCTGTTCTTAAAGGCGGGTCTGTTCCTAAATGCGTGTCTTTTCTTAAAGGCGTGTCTGTTCCTAAATGTGTGTCTGTTCTTAAAGGCGTGTCTGTTCCTAAATGCGTGTCTGTTACTAAAGGCTGCAGTCAGCAGTATTACACCTGCATCATAGTGGTATGTGAATAGACAGGATAAGCAGGATCGGAAGTAACCATTGTACAAACATCCACATGACTATTCCTAAATGCTGCAGTCGTGAAAGGTAAGCAGGCTCACGATGACCTGTAATTAAGCGACTCTAGACCATGTAAATTAGATACTGAGTGATGCACCGTAAAGATAAATATGCACGTTGCAGAACATAATCGTAAGTTCTTTTGTAGATGGCTCTTGCGGCAAGCGTGGGGGTAGGTTCAGTACAGAGTGATTCAAGGTTAAAATTGGTCTTCAGCATTCCACGCTTGTCGTAAGAGGTGACTAGCTGGTTCAGTTGGTCAAACTTAGTTGATGCAGAAGGGTCCAGGTTAAGATTGGTCTTTAACATGCCACATTTGTCGTAAGAGGTGACTAGCTGGTTCAGTTGGTCAAACTAAGTTGATGCAGAAGGTTCCAGGTTAAGATTGGTCTTCATGCCACGCTTGTCGTGCGACTAGCTGGCTTGGTCTTAGTTGATGTAAGAGGTGACTAGCTGGTTCAGTTAAGGTCAATCTTAGTTGGAGTTGGTCAAACTTAGTTGATGCAGAAGGTTCCAGGTTAAGATTGGTCTTCAACATGCCACGCTTGTCGTAAGAGGTGACTAGCTGGTTCAGTTGGTCAAACCTAGTTGATGCAGAAGGTTCCAGGTTAAGATTGGTCTTCAACATGCCACGCTTGTCGTAAGAGGTGACTAGCTGGTTCAGTTGGTCAAACTTAGTTGATGCAGAAGGTTCCAGGTTAAGATTGGTCTTCAACATGCCACGCTTGTCGTAAGAGGTGACTAGCTGGTTCAGTTGGTCAAACTTAGTTGATGCAGAAGGTTCCAGGTTAAGATTGGTCTTCAACATGCCACGCTTGTCGTAAGAGGTGACTAGCTGGTTCAGTTGGTCAAACTTAGTTGATGCAGAAGGTTCCAGGTTAAGATTGGTCTTCAACATGCCACGCTTGTCGTAAGAGGTGACTAGCTGGTTCAGTTGGTCAAACCTAGTTGATGCAGAAGGTTCCAGGTTAAGATTGGTCTTCAACATGCCACGCTTGTCGTAAGAGGTGACTAGCTGGTTCAGTTGGTCAAACTTAGTTGATGCAGAAGGTTCCAGGTTAAGATTGGTCTTCAACATGCCACGCTTGTCGTAAGAGGTGACTAGCTGGTTCAGTTGGTCAAACTTAGTTGATGCAGAAGGTTCCAGGTTAAGATTGGTCTTCAACATGCCACGCTTGTCGTAAGAGGTGACTAGCTGATTCAGTTGGTCAATCTTAGTTGATGCAGAAGGTCCAGGTTAAGATTGGTCTTCAACATGCCACGCTTGTCGTAAGAGGTGACTAGCTGGTTCAGTTCGTCAATCTTAGTTGATGCAGAAGGTTCCAGGTTAAGATTGGTCTTCAACATGCCACGCTTGTCGTAAGAGGTGACTAGCTGGTTCAGTTGGTCAAACTTAGTTGATGCAGAAGGTTCCAGGTTAAGATTGGTCTTCAACATGCCACGCTTGTCGTAAGAGGTGACTAGCTGGTTCAGTTGGTCAAACTTAGTTGATGCAGAAGGTTCCAGGTTAAGATTGGTCTTCAACATGCCACGCTTGTCGTAAGAGGTGACTAGCTGGTTCGCATGGTTAGACTTAGTTGATGCAGAAGGTCATTATTGCTGAGAGAGGCGTTTAATAACAAATAATCAAATAGGGATGACTCTCACTTCCTATAGAAAAGATGGTACTGCTTAGCATGACAGCTAGGCGTTTATCATATACCCATGTAAATTTAGGATAGTCATACTAGGGTGCAATACGGATAACGTGCTCAAATTCCGTATTGCACCCCAGATTCCGTATTGAACACATACCGCTACGCTATGATTTGTTTTATTACGTAACATATTAATGCACGATAAGAGGGTATATAATAAAAAATAGAACGTCATACTAGTGCATTTGGATGCTTTGTATTGAACGAGAAGATGTCATGGGAGCAGAGAAAAATTCGTTCTTCTAACTCGATGTTTCTCTGCTCCCATGACATCTTCTCGTTCGAACTCGTGTTTCGTTGCTCCCATGACATCTTCTCGTTCTTCGAACTCGTTGTTTCTCTGCTCCCATGACATCTTCTCGTTCTAACTCGTTGTGTCTCTGCTCCCATGACATTTTCTCGTTCTTCTAACTCGTTGTTTCTCTGCTCCCATGACATGTTCTCGTTCGAACTCGTTGTTTCTCTGCTCCCATGACATCTCGTTCGAACTCGTTGTTTCTCTGCTCCCATGACATGTTCTCGTTCAATACAAAACATCCAAATGCACTAGTATGACGTTCTATATATGTATGTCTTGTCAGTGGAGATATGATTAACGTGTTGTTTCGTTCTCTAAGGTAACCAGGGAGTGGCAGCAGGCTCTCCGGTGGCTGATCCTGTTCCCCGTTCTGAAGGTAGCGTGTATTTCTAGATTCTGTCTTATTACAGCTGAATTACAATGACCTGTCAAATGATCTACTCTGGAGCAAGAGAAGAAGCCCTCACAGACTCATCACATCACATGATCCACATATTCTTTGCAGACAGCTCGTATGGCAAGCGTAGGGTGTAAAGATATGTTGCCAATAGCTCTTATGGCAAGTCATTCTCTTCCCACAGAGGTTACTTGTCATATCTTCCTACGAACCTCTGTTCTAATACCACCCTTTTATGGTGCGAGTGTTCAGGATTCGTGATTGGTTGCAATCAGATTTAGTTGTGCAATCAGCGACGTTGTTTCAAAAGTGATCATTCGCAAGGCTTCGGTAATTTCCGCATGCTCCGGGAAACTAAAACCTCGTCCCCTGCGCGATGCAAATGTTTCTTCTAGACAGACCCCAGTCATGTAATGGCGGATCAATGGCGGATATCCATCGCCCTCGTTGACAACGGACAAGCTACCCATTAAATATCTTGTGTGTCACATCAACACAAGTCCCCGGCAGAGCAGGGATATTTGTGGCCCCACATTTGCTTGTATTAGTCAAGTTGGATCTAATTCGATGTAACACGTGCTCTGATTGAATAAAAACAAGGGAGATAATTCATGTTGCATTTTTTTGCCGCTAGGGGATTTTACGAGAACCGGGAAAAATGGCCATATTAGAACAGAGGTTCGTAGGAAGATATGACAAGTAACCTCTGTGGGAAAAGAATGTGTGGGATATAATTGACATACTGCATTAACTGTAAGTAGATAACGATAGTGCTAACTGAATCGATGAAACACGATGGGAAGTAAGTATGGTGATACTTCTGGATAAGTCCTTCAACAAATATTTTAGAATGTAGTACTAGTAGTTAAAATAGTGATCAAAGTACAAAATTAGTATCATTTATGGTATACAATGGTTAGGTTATATAGTTAATAAAATGTGTCCTTTGAAGGAGTGTTTCCGTGTTTCGCCCAGTTCTGTTTTCAATATTTGTAGGTCAGGGGTCGCAGAAGCTAGGGCATGTCAACCCCGGACTCAACTTGTTCCGCCAAATGATGGCAAGTTACCCCAAACAAAAGTCTTAGCAATTGGATTACGTCAACATGTGTGTGTTTGATGTCGCATGTACTGTTCTTCAAATGAACATAACTGTTTAGGCATGTTCTCAATCCGACCCTTGACTGTAATACTTGTGTTATTAAATAATCTGCAACTTCATTGAAAGGTCTTTTTTGTCATTTTGTGGTAAGGTCTATGTGTGAATAGACAATATCATTTAGAATGTGGTCAAGTGTAACATATGTTATATTTGGGATTACACCTACTTTGTAAAGTACAGATTATAGTTGGGCGTCTGACTATGTGTTGGCGATTAGGTGCCTCGCTCTGAGGGTGTGGGTTCGAATCCCGGATGGGACTCAACCCAAAAAAGTACTAGAATCTGTACTTTACAAAGAAGATAAAATAGAACATATGTTACAAGGTTTATGTGATATGTGTTTTAAGAATTAACACTTGCAAATGTTCCCACCAATTACAAACCTTTTGTGTGGATTGTTTGGTTGAGATATGATGATCTGTCACACAGACTCTACATGGATGCGGTGTGTTATAGCTGACTAGCTCTGGCACGACAGCCATGATTAGGAATCAAATAGAAAACCTACACATGTTCAAATGGCTCATTGAGTGACTGGGTGAATAGGTGATCCTCTTCGAATAGTAATCCAGTTTCCAGTATTCTGGTCTATCACTGAGGAATCGGTGGGGGTAGCCTAATGGTTAAAGCGTATGCTCGTCACGCAGACGACCTGGGTTCGACTCCCCACATGGGTACAATGAGTGAAGCCAATTTCTGGTGTCCCCGCCATGATATTGCTGAAATATTGCTAAATGCGGCGTAAAACTAAACTCACTCACTCCATCACAGCGCGTCATCGATGCAGGTCATAGACGTTTACGTGTTTGGTGCAACCCTCGGATATGCTCACAAACCTAGCGCGGATATAGCGCGGATATGCTCACAAACCTAGCAAACCTAGCGCGGATATGCTCACAAACCCTAGCAAACCCTAGCGCGGAAATGCTCACAAACCTAGCGCGGATATGTTAGCAAACCAGCGCGGATAACAAACTAGACAGATATTCGGGGCCAACCATGATTCATTTGTACATTTCTTGCGTGTCCAAAGGGGCCACAATGCACGCATGCACGCACACTATCAAATTTCTATACGAAATGTATCTTAACTTCAACGTCTTTATGCAACCTCCACGGCTCTGTACTAAGGCTATGCTTTAATGAGAACAAAGGCGTTTACATCTTATCTTTGAAGGGCATTTACAAGTGGAATGCATAAGAAAAGCAAGATTTATGGATGTCAACTTCTTTATTGCGAATAACACGACGTTTCGGAGTGTATGCTTGCTCCTTCATCATCAGGTGAATGCAGGAGCAAGCACAGCACTACGAAACACAATAGAGAAGTTGACACCCATAAACCTTGCTTTTCTTACGTTTACATCTAACTCGTAATTAATAGTACAGCTTAATAATGACACTTGAATTGCTAAATAGCCAAAATCATTGGCTGAGTATCCAGGTAAAGAATGATCCCCAAACAGTTGCTGGTCTTATTGTAACTTGAGATGTAAGGTGAGATGAAGGGCAATAATTATATACCTAACAAATCGGGGCCAGAAAATTATCCAGCTCCTTGCCTGTTCGCTGTCGTCGTTTTATCAGACTCAATGTCCGATCAGAGTGCTGACGAACAAAGAACCTTAGTGCTACGAAAATCGTGGGTCTCTTTTCAGGTACGTGAGCAGTCTGATTCACATTATTTCCCCTTCCACCCAGTATTTTCTGTATTGTGAACGCCTTAAAAGAAGCATTCTGGATTTTCCTCGTGTCCCAACACGTGTAGCCCCAATAATATGTTATGGTTAAAGCATTGGCTCGTCACGCTGAAGGCACGGGTTCGAGTCCCCACATGGGTACAATGAGTGAAGCCCATTTCTGGTGTTCCCCGCCGTGATATTGCTGGAATATTGCTAAAAGCGGCGTAAAACCAAACTCAGTCAGTCAGTCAGTATGAGAGGTACGATCCCCAGTAAGATGAATTTGTACCCCGGCAGCAGGCACATACTCACGAAGAATAATCCATGTACTGTTTACATTGGGAAATACTAGAGTTCACGATTTACGTCTAGGTCAAGATATAGTTGTATGGCAACAGTTCCAATTTGCCGTTTTGCGAAATAGTTTTGAATCGCTGACTAATCATGTCTTACAAGTCAAAGCATACAAGAACAGAACAAACATACCAGTTTCTTGATAGATGTATAACATGATTATAAAGGTCACCGTACACTTCAACCAATAGTTACATATGTTATATAGTATCACTTTCATAATAGAAGGATATATCCAGATGGAGTGATATCATTATTATAATGCATGTTATTATACATTCATTGAAAGGAACATACACGGCCATATTATCATACATGTGATAAACCGTCCTTTGTGGATACACTAATAAAAATATGTGCTATTTGTTACACATGCGCAAATGACAATACAAATAATATTTGCCGGCATGTTCTCTATTCGCCCACATCCCATCTCGCCCACAGTTTTAAAACAACATATTGGTTAGGGATTACATAATGATCAACTTGTGTCATACCTATGACTGAAGAATGGACTCTCCTATTTTGAAGATGTGGGCGAATTGAGATGTGGGCAAATGAAGACAAAAGTAATTTACATTTTGTTTTTATTTCTGTAACAAAGTTTCATAATGTTCAGTTCAACTTGATCAGGTGTCCAGCCGCGTCCAGAAACTGTAGCGGTGATCTTCTGCCAGTTTCCAGTTGCTGCTGCAGTCTGTGCAGGCGGCTGTCCAGGTTCTTGTAGAGTCTGGATCTTGGGCGGTCAGCTGCTCCATGCTCAATCTGTCTTCTGGCCACTCTGTTTGTTGTCTCGAGCTTCTTCATTGTGATCACAAACTCGTAAATGTTCGGGTGGTGCTTCTGAACCAGCTTCTTAAATCCAAGGTGGAATCCCTCCAAGTGATTGTTTGTTCTTGGCCCAGTGTTTCCATGTTGATTCCAAATGCAAGTGTGTTAGACGTTGTTTTTGATGAATGAATGAATGAATGAAGTACACTGTCAAGAAATCAATTGAGCATTATGCAAATATCAGTAGATAAGTTAATACTTAAAAAGGTACCTGTGAGGTCTACATCAGCACGGGTACGTGGGACTGGTGGAAGAACCTTGGCACGCTGACGGTAGAGTCCAGACTTGATGCTGTAGAAGGAAGCAACAGTAGCAGCAGCTTCTTCGTCTAGGTTCTGGGTCTCTTCATTGTAGATTTGCTGGACAGGCTTGATCTCTTCTTGAACGCGTTGTCTAAGTCTGGTGAGAAGTCGACTCTCTTCTTCATTCACTAGTGGAGGATGGTTGTGTTCTGATACTGAAGTGATGTGATCCCCAATGGTGCTGCATCTACCCTTGCACTTGTCGATGATACACTTCCAGTGAGTGGCTACCTGTCTGTCAACGTGCAGTCGATACTTGTGACCTCCGTGTAGAACCTGTTTTCCTCCTCTCTGCGACAACGTGAACTCTGCTTTCTGTAGGTTAGCCATTGCGACTGCCCATACTTTGCAAACTACCATACTTATAGGGTTGCAGTGAGTTACTAAATTGAAAGGAGAGAGAAGTTATTTCCGATTAGTAGATACATTAATTAATAATACTCTCTACTTTATTTAGACAAAATTGAAATATACTTTAAATCTTCTCTAAGTTTCCTTCTCCATCCTGTATAACTACCACAACACCGAAACAAGAGCACTTTGTCAAGTAACTCAGAGATGTATGTGATTTTAGACTAATCCCCCCCCCTTGTCAGGACACCCCATTATGAGAGTAGGGGTGCATTGTCTGACCCTAATTAACCTCTGATGTTTTTGTGGGCCAATTGGGATGTGGGCAATTAGGGATGTGGGCGAATAGAGACTAACAGATGGCAACACACCAGGCTATAAGAGATGCAGCTGGAAGAACGAGAATTGCCCGACTGACACTGTTTCTCTTCATTTACACACATATTCCTGATCTGAAACAGATGACAATATAAGTACACGTTTAGCTGCTAATATATAACGGTGAGGCGAAACATTCGCCCAACGCAACATAAATTTGTGTAGATGTTGTAGCCCGAAGAACCACTTAAATGCCGTTATCTGTTTGGTTTCCAGATTATCTATCCTCTATGTTGGTGGTGTGTTGCTTGGAACCCACGCCACAATCAGCCGAAGGTAACGGACTTTAGTCACGGAGAGATCTTGGATGGGTGACAGTGTCTGGCAGCATGAGTGTTTAGGACTTCCGTCCTGCCCAACAATAGAACGCAAGTGACACAGTTGGGCTCACCTCAGCCAAATGAGTTTGTTCAACATTGCCTATTTTCACCCAACAGAAAATGGGTACCCGACGGGATAAGTCTTATGACTACTAACCTTCTGGAGCCTCACGGGCAGCTTGGGTTAACCAGGGTAATAATATCCATTATGCTGTATGCGCTTAGAGAACACCCATGCGGTGTATCAAACATATTAACAAAAAGCTCATAAAGGATTGAATTTGAATTATATAGTGGTCTAAAATGAGCAATAACGTATTTGTCTGTGTACTTGCATTTTCCACATGTTTTACTCAGAGTAATGCCCAAGAATATATAAAATGAAACGCGTTACAACAACTTCCCACTGTTACTTCTCGCAATGATATTTGCTTTCTTAAAGACTAAAACCCTCTGTTATATAAGTAATATGTAGTTCATGGTTACCGAGAGATTTTTCTAGAACCCCAATTTGTGTCAGTATTCTATCAACGGTTTTAAAAATTAACATAATATTGCAAACAAATCGCAGAGGAACAAATGAACGTGATGTACCTTGGCTGATTTACTGATGAATATCGAAAATAAACCTGGGCATAGTACACAGCCATGGCAGACACCCGTGTTACATCAACGAATATAACGATTATTCCATTTTACACCCGAGAGGACTGTAAAATACATAAACTGGTTACATAATAATAGAAACACCCCGAAATTGTAGCATATTCCTCCGCTTTTTCCATCAATTGATTTGAATGCTATGGAAAAATAGATGAACCAGTCTATATGTTTCCTCCTT